CCACTGAGCTACAACTCCAGACCCATTCTTTTTTATTTCATGTCAAAAATAATTTTTTAACTGGGAGCTTAATCTAAAGGTGCTCTACCACTGAGCTGCAACCCCAGCCCTTTTTTCATTTTTTGAAAATTTGAGATGGAATTTCACTAAATTGCCCAGGCTGGCTTTGAATTTCCAATTCTCTGTCTCAGTTTTCTGAGTATCTGGGATTTGCTTCATGTCAAATATAATGTCCAAACAATGTTGAAGTATTTCCTGAGCTATCTATTTGAGCATTTACAATCATTTAAATAACAATAGTTTTGGGGTTGGGAAAATATCTCAGCGGTAGAGCAATTGCCTGCAATGTTTGATGTCCTGGATTCAATATCCCAGCACCACTATCAATCAAAATCAACCAACCAACCAGTCAATCAATATCCCTAGTTCTTGAACTGCTCATTCATGTTTGAGAGCACATTACACAGAGGGTGCCCATAGCCTGTGGTAAAACTTCTCCAGTAAACTCTAGGCTGCTGATACAGAAATGAAAACAATAGTCTAATTATTGTTTGTTATGTTTCCTAGTGCAAAAAGGCTGTAGAGTTTTCCCCAGATTTGATTTCTGAATGTGAATTATTTTAACTATGACTTTACAACATTAAAATGAGCTCTCCTCAATGTTATTTTGCTGTGTTTAGGGAAAAACATACAAGTCTCTCTCAAAATAGATAGAGAATACTAATCCCTGTCAATCGAAGCTGGTAAGGTCTCTGCTAGTATAACATTCACAAAAGCCTTGTGTATCTCCTGTATATGTAACAGGGATTAACTTTATTAGGTAAAAGACTCTTTCCATAGTTCTTTCCTAAATAGTTCCATCTATATTCCTGACTATCTTAATTTCTCTCATAATTTTCCTTAAAGTTTACTATAAGCAGCAAAAAGAAATCAGGCTGCACTGTCAATATTTTGACTGGAAATCTCAGCTAACTGTCCACGTTCATTGTTTATGAGTTCTTCTTTCCATGTAACTGCAGGTCACAAGTCAGTTAAGTTTCCTGCCAGGTTATTAACTTTCCTCTAGTCTACAGTAACATTTTCCTCATTTTGAGCTCTTACTAACAGTAGTTTTAACATCCATACATATTCCTGAAATTTGCTTAAAATGAATTGTATATTATATGAGGCAATATGTGTTTACCACCATATTCTCAATTCCATCTGAATCCTCATTAGTAGAGTTATTAACACAACATTTCTACTAATAATCCACTCAAAGCAATCTAGGCTTTTTCTATCATTGCCCAGTTCAAAAGTCATTTTCATACTTTTAGTTATTTATTATAGCAACACCCCATTCCAAGTACTAAAGTCTGTACCAATCAAGATTTGACCAGAGAAATAATTTGAGCAAACTATATATTTGGCTAGACAAGTCTAAAGTCTGTATGGCAGTTAGTTAGGAATTATATTTGGAAAACTGAGGCAGAAGATGAATCTCCTTTGCTTCAGTGGAATTTCTTTATCTCATAGATGATTCAGCTCTGTTTTTCATGCCTAACAACTGGTTGAATCAGATAAACCTAGATTATTTATGGTATTCTTTCTATTTTAAGTTTAGTTGATCATCTACTTTAATACTGTCTGCACATTAATTCTACTTGACAATGTAACACAAAATATTCACAGGTACCAGGAATTAGAAATATTCATAGGAAAAAGGAATTAGGATGTAGACAAGTTTGGGGGATACCATCATTTCTCCAAATGTTTTCTTGAAATAATTCAACTGCTTCATCAACATATCCTTTATTAAATTTTGTTTGGTTAACACATTTTCATTATACAATGTATTTTTTTTCTGAATTCCTCATCAACCAGAAAAATATAATCATCCAAAGGCAAGTAGATACTGAGATGTTGTACCATTAGAAACTCCTCAGTGCCCAGAATCTGGACTCTTTGGGAATTTTCTTGCCTATTCTAGTAAAAAAAATGTTTTTAATAACAGTAACCAAAAGACCTGACAAGAACAACTTAGAGAAGTTAATATGGGGCTCGTGGATTTAGAGATTTCAGTCTATAACTGGCCATCTTCATAATTCTGGGTCAAAGGTGAGTTAGAACATCATGGCATGCTCATGGTGGAGGAAAGCAGATCAGGACATGACAACAAGAAAGCAGAGAAAGCTCTGCTCACCAGGGACAAAATATAAACCCCAAAGGCATGCCCCCTGTGACCTGTCTCCTCCAGTCCCAACCTACCTGTCTATAGCTATCACCCAATCAATCCACATTAGTGGATTAATTGACTGATTAGGTTATAACTCTCATAACCTAACCATTTAACCTCTGAACCTTCTTGCTTTGTCTCACATGTGAGCTTTTGGGGGACACACCAAATCTAAATCATTATATTTCATCCCTAATCCTTAAAAGCTCATACCCATCTCACAATGAAAAATATATTTAGTCCATTTTTAAGGTCCCCATAGTCTTAACAGTTCCAACATTACCCGAATTCCAAGTCCAAGTCTCCTCTGAGACTCAAGGAAAACTCTTAACATGAACACCTGTAAAAATCAAAAGCAAGTTACATATATCCAATATATAATGCACAGAGTAAATATTTCTAGTCCACAAGGATATAGAAAGAAAGGATGGGTCCAAGGCAAGACTGAAATACAGCTGGGCAAATAAGTTCTGAAGTTCCATGTCCAGCATCTGGGGCATATGGCATTATGACATTTTCTCCAAGGGCCTTGTGCAGCTCTGCCCTTTTGGCCTTGTTGGTTACAGCCCCCACAGGCTCTTTCTTGGCTTGTCTCTGCTCAATTCCTGCAGCTTTCTTTAGCAGATGTTCCATGTTACTGGTGTCTCTTAATCTCAGGGATCTCCACTGTGGTTTTGATTTCCTTCTCACATCTTCATTCACTACTCTTTTAGAAGCAGCCACAGGGACTCTGACCCCGCTACACTTTGCCCAAACTCCCAGTTATTCCTTTGAAATCTCAGTGGTATCCTCTATAAACCACTTACTCCATTATCCTGCAATCCTGCAGAACCAGCATTACATGGTTGATGCTGCCACCATCTTGAGCAGCAGCCAAATCTCCCAGGATCATGGATGCAGCACCCTCTGAGTGCAAGGATGGCCAAGCATAGTGAAACAACTTCCTAGCCCTCCCAGTGCAGACAGGGTTCCCAATGGTCTCTTCTCAAAGGAATTTTTACTTTTACACCCTGAGCTGGAGATGGGTGTGGTTTCGCCAATTCTAGAGATGCCCTAAATCTTCTTTCCTAGGGTCTCTTTGTAAAGTACTTAGCATCTCTTTAGTATTGCTAATGTATTTAACAACCACAACTTTATTAGCCTCAGTTTTACTTATACTTTTATAGTCAAACTTTTTTTGACCAAACAAGTTTTTAAAATCTTTCTGCTCTGCTTTCTACTCCTGATTATCACAGTAAGTTTGTCTAAATGCCACCAACAATATCCATGCAAACTCCTAAATGTTGTGCTGCCTTGAAATTTCCTTCACCAGATTAACTAGTATGTCACCTTTAAATTCAGCCTCACAGAAAGCCTCAAGATATGGACAAAATATAGACAATTTCTTTGTCAGAATGTAACACGAATGGCTTCTACTCCAATTGTTAGTCCAGTTCTCCTCCATTGAAATCTCATAAGTCTAGTATTTCCTGCCCAGAAGTCCTATCAGCATTCTGGTTTTCTGAGCTACCAGCAGAATCATCCATTAAGTTTTTCTTAAAACATTCTAAAGGTTCTCCAGCTTGCATCTCTAGCCTTTTCAAAATTCCTCCCACCACAAACCATATCCAAAGACTTCTGAAACACATGGTCAGGTTATTCTGAGCAACAACCCCACTTCTGTGTACCAATATCTGTTTAGTCAGCTTTTTCATCACTGTGATCAAAAAACTGACAAGAACAGTACAGAAGAAGGAAAGTTTATTTGGTACACAGTTTCAGAGACCTCAGTTAATAAATGGCTGATTTCTTATATGCCCCAAAGGCATGCACCTACCTTCTCCAGCTACACCCTACATACAGTTACTACCCACCTAATCTAAATCAGTAATTTAATCCACTGTTTGGGCTACAACTGTCATAAAATCATACCACCTCTGAACCTTGTTCCAATTTCTCACACATGTGCTTTTAGAGGACTCCTCATATCTGAGCCCTAATATTGCCCAGGTAGGGAACAATTGCAAAAATATGCATCACTTGATCCTATGGTCTGTTTGCTTTATAAGAACACCTTAAACATGGCCAATCTATATATAAATACACCTGTTAAGTAATTTTACTAGGATCATAACTCCAGTTAGAGTTGAGCCTATAAGTCTTTTCTGCATTAATCTATATGAGAAAGAATGGGTGATACAGCTGTGTTTTATGAACTGACATGTATTTTACAGTGAAAGTCTAATGATTGCAAGCATAAAATTGAAATAAGTAATTTGAAATTACCCATATGGCTGCCTATTTGACAATAAAAATAAAAACAGGAAGCTTGGGAAGAAAATGGATATTAATGAACATAAACCAATTACATTCCAAACAGAAATAAGGTAATTGAAAAGTTATAGCTGTGTAAACAATAAAAACCAAAAGACTTCCAGATTTTAAAATAAAGTATGATAAAAGAGGAATTATACATTTTCATGTAGTATCATATAGTGGGAAATGTACCTTTAAATTTTGAGTTAGAATTATTAGAACTGGTTCACATTCATATATGATCCTTTGGGAATAAGTTATAAAAATTTAATCAGAAATAGAAAGTTTCCTGATATAAACTATTTACTCACAAAAGAAAAATTCCAAAATAATTATACAGCAAACAGGGCAACAAAATTAAAAATAACAATTCTAAAGACTACTAGAAAAAAAGAAAAATAGTAGAATTAAACATTACTATGAAGTTAAAAAGGAAAATGAAAAGCAAAAGAGGCAAAATTAATATAACCAGCAGATAAATTTCAATTACCTAAATTATTCTGGAGGGTTGGAATATCCTCTAATTTTCTTCCAGAGTCTTGTGTCAGAATATTAGGGAATATAGGCTTCAAGAATCTGAACTCATTACTCTCAGAGTCTCCTTTCAGGCACACCTCATACTGGTAGCTCTGAGACAGGGTCCCTGTGCCGCTGACATCCACCAGGTGGCCAGGAAAGTGGCCCTCAGGCACCGAATACACACCCAGCGGCGTCGCCCTGCGCCTCCTGCACAGCCTCACAACCACGAACACCA